GTATCTGTGTCAAGATATGGGTGAGTTGCCCCAGAGGCCTTAGTTGTATCCCAGGGAACGAACCACACCAGAAAAGGTTTAGCAGAAAAACTTACCTATACCAGAAAGTGATTGCAAAGAGCATAAATATATTCTACCCAAAGCAAATTGGATATATTCCCAGTTTAACTTTTTTATAATGTTTGCCAAATGTATGTGAACATGATTATCATTTTTATTTGTACTTTGAGTCTTATTGAGACTAAAGCTATCTTCATTGGCTTTTGGCCTTTTCCTTTTCTTTTCTTTTCTTTTCTTTTGTGAATTGCCATTTTGATTTTTTTTTTTTTGAGATGGAGTCTTGCTCTGTCGCCCAGGCTGGAGTGCAGGGGCATGATCTCAGCTTACTGCAGCCTCCATCTCTGGGGTTCAAGCAATTCTCCTGCCTCGGCCTCCCGAGTAGCTGGGATTACAGGCATGCACCACCACCACGCCCAGCTAATTCTTGTACTTTTAGTAGAGATGGGGTTTCACCATGCTGGCCAGGGTGGTCTTGAACTCCTAATCTCAAGTGATCTATTCACCTTGGCCTCCCAAAGTGCTGTGATTACAGGTGTGAGCCACCACACTCAGCTGCCATTTTAGATCTTTTGTCCATTTTTCTCTTTACATTTTATCTTTTTTCTATTAATTTGTATCACTTTAAAAATATATATCTAAGATAGTAGACTTCATGTTTTGCATGTGTCACAGATTTTTTTCTGTGAATTAACCTTGTTTATGATGCTCTTTGCTATATAGGAAGTTTAAATTTTTATAATTAAATCTACAACTCTTATCTTTTACAAGCTCTGTTTTTAGTCTTATTTTTAGTAAATCCTTTTTCATTGCAAGACCTAAGAATATTGACCAAATAATAGTAGTAATAATGGGAGTAATAACAATAATTACAACTGTTATATCTATTTATTTAGTACACGTTATTTGCCAGAGATCTCACCAGACATTGAAATTATGGAATTATATTTCATTCAATTATTAGTCCAGCAACCTGGGTGACCTTATCTTGCAAATGAGGAAATTGAGGCTCATAGAGGTTTATCAGTTTAACCTTGCCCAAGGTCACTGTTATCTGCTTGACTTGGCAGCACTGAGGGACAGGTGCTGAGTCCGGAGGGCAGGCGAGACAGGTGGGCTGGAAAGCCAACTGGGATGGGAGAGCATACATAGCTCCTTTCCCTGTGGTAGTAGAAATTCCTAGTCATTACTCTGCATTTTATTGACTAATCTTCCAAACAAGCTTTAGGCTCATTTTGTCAATTTCAAGTGAAAAATCCTTTTGGAAATTTGACATTAAAAATAAAATCTTCACACCCAAGATCATGCAATGTCTCATTTATTTAGGTTTTCTCTCACACTCTAAAGTAATATTTTATAGTTTTTTAAATATGTTCTGGCACATCTCATAAGGAGAGTATATTATGAATGGGATCTTTTTAAAAAAATTATATTTCTAATTGGTTATTTCTAATATATTGTAAAACTTCTGATTTTTATATGTAGACCTATCTGGCCACCTTACTTGATTCTCTTCTTTGTTCTAAAACAATTTTCCAGTTGATCATCTTGTAGTTCTTTGGTAGACTGACCCAGGTTTATAACATTTATATTATCTTGCCACTTATTTTGACAGGAAGTGTAATTTATCTATTGTGTGTAGAATTGATCTGGTTTTCTGGCTTGCTAGTTAGCAGCAAAAACATTTAAAAGTTAACATTAAACAGTCAGTGTCAGCCATGCACGGTGGCTCACACCTGAAATTCCAGCACTTTGGGAGGCCGAGGTGGGTGGATCACTTGAGGTCAGGAGTGCGAGACCGACCTGGCAAATATGGTGAAACCCCATCCCTCTCTACTAAAAATACAAAAATTAGCCAAGCCTGCTGGCTGGCTCCTGTAATCCCAGCTACTTGGGAGGCTGAGGCAGGAGAATCGCTTGAACATGGGAGGTGGAGGTTGCAGTGAGCCGAGCTCGTGCCATTGCACTCCAGCCTGGGTGACAGAGTAAGACTGTGTCTCAAAAACAAACAAACAAACAATAACAACACAACAGTCAGTGTCATGTATTCCAATCTAACAATTGAAGTAGTCTCTTTAGTGTGTTCTCAGTCTCTCCAGGGAAAGAAACAAAATGGAGAGCTGGCCCGTTCCCTTTTAATTTCACCAAGATAGGGTCAGGGTATATTAGGAAAATTGCCCTGTCTTAGTGGTGGTGATGAGAAGGAGGATTTAGATGGGTGTAATGCTCTTATTCTGTCTTCTCTGTGGTGGCATCTTTGCTCTGATGGATTTCAGTACTGTAGTTTCTGGATGTTGAATTTACAGCTCTTTTTTTTTTTTCACTTTATTAATGCTTCTGGATGCAGTGGTCATACTCACCCCTCCCCACAAGCCCCAGTCCCTCTGCCCCTGACCTCTCAACATGCAATTTCCTCAGTTCTTGCTGGCTGCACCCCTGAGTCTCAGCCTCATTCTCTGCCTGACCCTCTGGCTTGATAGTCCCTCCCAGCCTCTGCTCTCAGCTCCCAGGTTCCCAGCCTCTGAATCGAGGGTCCTACCGGATAGGAATTGATGGTGACCTGTGAAAACTAACTGTCAATGCCTCACTCTGCATGCATCTCCAATTCACTTTAACGTGTTTTAATCCGTTATGGTTTTGGGTAATGATATGGTTTGGATCTGTGTCCTCATTTCTATCTCATGTTCAATTATAATCCCTAATATTGGAGGCGGGGTCTCGTGGGGAGTGATTCGATCATGGGAGCAGATTTCTCTTGAATGGTTTAGTACCATCCTCTTGATATTAGCCTCATGACAGCGAGTTCTCGCGAGATCTGGTTGTTTAAAAGTGTGTGGCGCCTCCCCCTCTCCTTCCTCTTGCTCCTTCCTGCTTTAGCCGTAAAACATGCCCGCTCGCCCTTCACCTTCTGCCATGATTGTAGGTTTCCTGAAGCCTCCCCAGAAGCTGAACAGACAGTGGCTCCAGGCTTTCTCTAAAGCCTGTAGAACCATGAGCCAATTAAACCTCTCTTCTTTATAAATTACCCAGTCTCAGGCATTTCTTTATAGCAATGTGAGAATGGCCTCATACAGGTAACCTATGAATTGGACTCCACCTAGAGCTCCAGATGGGAAACAGGAGACGTAAGACCTCTCTGTCCTCAATTTTATCCTCATTTATCTTATATATCTGTCTCTTTTCTTGCTCAAAAGGGAAAATTGGGACGACATTTGCCAGCTTCGCTTTCTTGCATCCCTTTCTTCTGAAGCCCCCGAAAAAGAAAAAATTCCTTTGAAACTTACCTTTCACCATTTTTTTTCCATCATGGCTTTGCAGTCATAGAAAGACTTGGTATCTTTTCTGCTCCCCTCCAAAATTAATCTTATTTGCAAATAAAATATTACTGCATTTTTTCTTTTTGTAAAATCAAATGATAATCTCTATCCCTATCTGCCCCTCAACAATTAGGGTAAAGATCATGTACTAAATGATTCTGAAGACATTACTTTAGTTACAAGGTTATTAAAAGAATTGCAGATAATTTTGTTTCTGTCTTGATTTTTCTTACCTCAGTGGCACCTAGAGGCTCTGGCCAGGGCCTCTAGGACAATGTTGAGTAGTAGGACTGATAGAAGGTAGCTGCCTTATCCTGACTTTCATGAAGTTACTTTAAATGTCACCACCAAGTTATGATGTTTTCTGGCAAATATCCTTAAGTTAAGGAAAACGCCTTCTAGTTTTAGTTTACTAAGAGTTTTCTTTTTTAAAGATGAAGCATTAAACGTTAGTGCTTTTTTTTGCTTCTATTGGTATTGCATAATTTTTCTACCAGGTTAATATACCCAGGTGGGTAAAACGCTATTCTGCCCAGGTTAGTAAATCGCTATTTCTAGCTATTCTAATCATTTGAATTGAATTTCTCTAGTGGCAAATAATGACTAATAGCATTTAATAGCAATAGAAGAGGAGTGTGTTGAAAATATAGTGGGGATATTTTGAAGAAACAAAGAGCTGAACAATGGAAGCGCAAGGAGAACCAAGACTGCTTGGAGGAGCCGAGCAGCAGAAACTAGCAGATCGCGTTGCTCCTACGACACCATCATATCATATTCCTCCAATTACCTTTATTACCTTATGATGTTTTCTTCTTCTTTTTTTACTTTTAAAATGGTTTCATTTTATGTCCAAATAATGAACAGAATGTTGTACCCATAAATTCTACTTTCCAAAAACAATTAGGAGCTTTTTAAAAGAAAACCACATAATAAAGTTTTAAAAGGCACTGGGATTCATCTGCTTCTAGATCATTGCTAGGCTAGAAAAATAAAGTTTGTTCTACCAGGAATCACAGGTTAGAACCAAGTATTCTCTGAAGTGGAAATTCTAGAGTGTAATGCCATTCTGGGCAAAGATTATTCAGTTCTCATCCCCAGCATCCACAACTACCTATCAGAAGGGTTAAACCAGGTCAAAACAGTCCAGCATAATTAGGCTTCATCAAGCAATGTCATTATGCTCTTCTAAGATGCAAATAAACCAAAACAGGAAATTCTAAAATCACAATAATATTTGACGCTGTCATACAAATTGTTAGTTCCTTGTTTTATCCCCCCTTCTGTAATATTAATAAAGGGAATATTTTACTGCAAAGAATATTTTATTTTACACATCACTGGCCATGAATTTTTGCCATTCATTATTATACAAATGCTGCCTACTACCATTATCCAAATGGCATAACCATTTAACATCCACAATTCACTTCTATAGTTATAAGTAGAATTTTCACGTGAAATCTTCACTGATAGATGTACTTATGTAAATCAATGTCCTTTGGAGACTTGGAACTACTAAATTATTGGTTTATTTTTTACATAAGGTCACTTAAATGAAAAGTGATTAAAATATATCTTTCCTACATTACTATCTGCAAAACATCAGCTATTACGGATGTTAGATTCCAAGTCTCCAAAGGACATTTTCAGAAGTACATCAAGAAATGTTTATAGAGATGTTTAAGAAGCATCTTCATGTCCACATCCGGTTGTAACTGCTGTACCATTTTCTCTTCCAGCTGCTTCCCTTTGCCTGCAAGAGGGACTCGGATAAGATGGATGTTTTGCTTGACTTCTTTGATATCCTGGACTTTCTGTACCTCTTTATTTTTCTTCAATCTGTTCATTATAAATTTAACTTGGCGTTTCTGTTTGATCTCTTCAACTCTCTTCATTGCATCAATGGTTTTATTCCATAGCTCTCACTGAATTTGATAGGTTCATTTCTACGTTTTTCAAATTCAAATGAATTATCTACTGTAAGCTCTTTACCAGCTGCTTTCCGGAATGCCTTGGTCTGCCTAACTTTGCAAGGATTGTGCTTCTTTTTTAACTTTTTTATGCCGTTTAGATTTACAAAATCTGAACACCTTGCAATCGTTGCGGACGAACATCATGCTGTGGCCAGGGTAGATGGGCCCCAAACAGAAATAATACTTCTTGATACGTGTGTCGAACCTGTGTGGGTCTTCACCAGCCAAACGCCAAGCTTGAGAAGAAGTGACCACCTTATGATGTTTTCAAGAACTAAATTTCAAGCAGAGAGAATCTTATTCATCTGCTTTAGGTCACATGTCTACTCCATGGTTGAGCAGAAGTAGTGTGGGCTCTTCCAGAATAGGGGAAGAACAATTCCTTAAAGAAAGTAGCATTACAGAAAGAAGTTTAGGGGTTGGTGGTGAGAAAGAAATGTGTTCGGCAGGAAAAACACTGTCATAGTACATGCTAGAGTGGATGTGCTAATTTTTTAAATATTTTTTGCATCTATATTGTGCATATATATTTGCATCTCAAAGATGGAATTAGTTTATCTTGTGCTTGTTTGAAGTTTTCTATCCTTTTTGGTATATTTTTAACAAAGTTTCATTAATAGAAAAACTTCTTTTCCTAGATTGATTGGTAGAACCTGTCTGATTTTGGTGTATAATTACTATTTGTTTGGTTTTAAATATGTATTTTTGGCTAATTTATTATTTCTTACATGAATAATGGTGTACTTGGGTTTCCTTGCCTCTTGAGTAAATTTTGACCATTTATACTTTCATAGAAAATGGTTTATTTCATGTAAATTGTCAAATCTATTGCTATACATTTGTATCCAATATTTTCCTGTATTTTAAGCATTTCTTCCTACTAGTAGTTCAGGCATTTTTCCCATTCTTATCCTGCTTATTTATGTTTTCTCTTTTTTTCTGAAACAGCTCTATTTTATTGGACTTTTCAAAGAAACTGCTTGTGCTTTTATCATGTGTTCTTTAATTAAATGTACTCATTTGACTCTTCTATTTCCATTGATTCCTTCCACTTTTTACATGTTATTTTGTTGTTAACTTTCTTGCTTCTTGAGTTGAATGCCAGTGTATACATTTTTATTACATTTTCTGAAAAGTTCATTATGTGGTTATAAATATTCCTGTGAATGCTGCTTTGGCTGCTCCTCATAGGTTTTTCTAAATACAGTTGATCCTTGAACAATGCAAGGATTAGGGGAACTGACCCCTGCACAGTTGAAAATTCACATATAACTTTTTACTCCCCCCAAAGAACTAATAGCCTACTGTTGGCTGGAAGCCTTAGCAATGACATAAACAGTCATCAACACATATTTTGTATGTCATTTGTATTCTATACTGTATTCTTAAGACAAAGTGAGCTAGAGAAAAGAAAATGTTATTAAGAAAACTGTAAAGAAAATATATTTCCTATTTATTAAGTGGGAGTGGATCATCATAAAATTCTTCATCCTTGTCCTCATGTTGAGTAGGCTGAGGAGGAGGAGGGATTGATCTTGCGGTCTCAGGGGTGGCAGAGACAGAAGAAAATCTGCGTATAAATGAATCTGTGTAGTTCAAACTTACGTGGTTCAAGGGTCAACTGTAGTTCGTAATTTCTCTTTTTATTTCTTATTTAGGCAGTATTTTAAAATTTCCAAGTAGATTAGTTCCCCCTCTAAGCTTTTTTATTACTGAACTTCAGTGTCATTGCACAGCAGTAAGAGAATGTGACCTGTGTGTTTTCTATTTTTGGTTTGTTTTTTGAGACTGAGTCTCACTCTGTCACCCAGGTTGGAGTGCAGTGGTGTGATCTCGGCTCACTGCAACCTCTGCCTCCAAGGTTTAGGCAATTCTTCTGCCTTAGCCTCCCTAGTAGCTGGGACTATAGGCATACACCACCACACCCAGCTAATTTTTCTATTTTTAGTAGAGATGGGGTTTCACCATGTTGGCCAGGCTGGTGTTGACCTCCTGACCTCAGGTGATCCACCTGCCTTGACCTCCCAAAGTGCTGGAATTACAGGCATGAGCATATTTTCTGATATTGAGAGGCATAGTGTGGTAAGAGAATATCCAAATAACACAAGCAGGGGCAGATAAAACAAATCCCTAGTTATGATTATGACTGAGAGACTTTAAAGAATATTAATGTCTACTATTAAATGTTATTTTGTGTTGTTTGTATATTTTTATTATTATTATTGTTTTCTTGTTGTACCATTTCATTCTTCCCCCATCCCTGGCCCATTAACTGAAACCTGAAAATCATGCTACACACACACACACACACACACACACACGCACTAGTTGATGGTACTTTGGACCATAAGGTGATTGCAACAATGGCCTGTGGCGGTGTCTGGTATGTCAATGTGGTGTGAAGAGAAGTTGCACATGCAAGAGGCACACAATAGTGCTCAGATCAGGCACTCAGAGAGAGCTGGGAGTGGTGGTATATTAGTCAAGGTCCACCAGAGAAATAGAACAATAGAATGTTCACATGGAGAGAGATACTTGGTTTAAGGAATTGGCTCATGTGATTGTTGGGGCCGGCAAGTTCAAAATGTACAGGGCAGGTTGGAGACCCAGGGAAGAGCTGATGTCACAACTTGAGTCTAAAGGCAATGTAGAGGCAGATTTTCTTCTTCTTAAGCAGATATCAGTCTTTTTAATCTTAATGCCTTCAACTGATTGGACAAGGCCCACTCACATTATGGAGAGTAATTGGTTTGACTCAAAGTCTGCTCATTTAAATATTCATCTTATAAAATAATATCTTAACATCATCTACACTGATGTTTGACCAAATATCTGGGTACCATAGTCTAGCCAAGTTGACATAAAAAATTAATCATCACACCACTTGTTGACTTGGCACCTATATACATTTCCTTAAATCATAATCTTCAAATAAAATAACAAAATCATATTTCAGTCTAACAACTGTCCTGCATACAACTGAAAGTGTACTAACCCATTCCCCAAAAGAGGATGCAGGTTACTCAGAGATGCTTGCTCTCCTTGATATCCTTGCTCTCCTTGATATCCTCCTTGATATCCTGTAATTAGAGGTATTTGGAAACAACTTCTACCTCTCAGTTTTCCACCTTCCCAGCATCTTGCAGATATTGGGAAAGATGCTGAGTTTAAGCCACATTTTTCTTTGAAATAAAAGACAAAGTCCCCAGGAGCTGATTTCTGAGCTTCATGGACTTCACCTGTTTCACAGTTTTGACAAGCATTGTCAGCCATTCTCTGACCCTAATGCCTATGCTGTACATCAAGGCCAGGAAATGGGTGCAGAAATGAGGGGGATCTCAACCCTCTTCAGCATTAGTTTCATTCTTTTGCCATAATTTTTCTTATTTGTAACTGGGTAATTGATCAGTCAATAAATTCTAGAGTTGGGATGACTCTTATAGTCTACCTCTTCCGTTGTTCTGTAAACCATGGTCTATCCTTACTATTTCACTGAGAAGATTTTATATGAAGGGGTTTTGCTGTCATAAGGATATCTGGGGGAATTCTTGGTCTACCCCAACCCCTCTGGCTCCTGGCTCTTCCCTTCATCATTCCCTCAAGTATTAGTCCCCAGGGAAGGAGCTTACACCCTCCTGGGACATCCCAATCCATCCTTGAATGACTCTGAATGATCATTTCTTTATATGGATTAGACATCACTCCAACTGTTCTATAACTTAACCTATTGCAGGCATTGGTTCTTCCCTGGCTACTCAAACACAGCTGAATCTTAGCATTCATTGATTTAACATTGGCTATTTCACCATGGTCCTCAAAGGTTCATAAAATGACCCAACTCATAATTTTGCTAGGGCATTAACTTGAGAAATGTTTTCTGCCAGGCCAGTGTGTAGAACTGAGTTGCCAAATAGTAAGTGGACCTTCCCAGAATGTTAGCATTCACTTTTGACTGTTTTCTGATTTTCATGGTCATAGTAAGTCTCATGAAAGGAATAAATAGTCTTATGAATGAGTTTGGTCCCATATTTATTACTTGTAAAGGATTACTTAGGTTTTTCAGCTACATATTATTACATTTTAGGAGAAAGTATATGCTCTAGTGGTATTTATGTATTTGGGATATTTGAAGGGCTTGGGAAACATTACTAATGAATGCCAATGGTCTATGGTGTAATCTGTTTCCATAGGACATTTCTCCAAACAGTTCTGAGAATTGCTTTAGCATTGATTTATTACTAGGAAGAACGTGGGAAGGAAGAGATACAATGAAGCTCATAAAGATTTTGACATGTCAAAATCAAATAGCATTTTAAAGGGAACTAAGGGATACCACCTTGATTAGCATTTGTAGGGAGCAAACCAGTGTGTGCTACAACCAACTTATGCCTCAATTCATTTCATGGAAATCCCCAAGATGAATATCTGTGCACAAAATTTACATGAGGGAAACTCAAAATTTAGTAACTTTTCTTCACAAAATGAAACTATATTATTTTATTTATACTCCCTTTTGTTCAGAACTGATTTGAATTGGTGTATAAGGCAATTGAATTATTTCATAATGTAATATGAGTAAAAACGTGGTGATAATATGGGTGACTATCTAAAGTGTGTTTTACAGGCAAAAAAGAAAAATGCATTCAAAGAAACTACTAATGGATATACCAGGGGTCAGCAAAATATGGCCTGTGGGCCAAATCTGGCCCTATTTACGTACATCTTGCAAGCTAAGAAGAGTTAAAAAAAATATTTTTAACTTTTTTTTTTTTTTTTTGAGAAGGAGTCTCACTCTGTCACCCAGGCTGGAGTGCAGTGGCACGATCTCAGCTCACTGCAATCTCCACCTCCCGGGTTCAGGCGATTCTTCTGCCTCAGCCTCCTGAGTAGCTGAGACTACAGGCATGCGCCACCATGCCCGGCTAATTTTTTGTATTTTTAGTAGAGACAGGGTTGCACCATACTGGGTAGGCTGGTCTTAAACTCCTGACCTCGTGATCCACCAGGCTTGGCCTCCCAAAGTGCCGGGATTACAGGCATGTAATGTCGAGCCACCATGTCCGATCTTTTAAATGGCTTTAAGTAAGAAAAAGAAAAAGAATATTGTGTGCAATTGTTTGAAATTCAAATTTTAGATTCCATAATAAAGTTTTATTGGAATACAGCCATGCTTATTGATACACATCATCTCATATGTAACACTCATGCCATAATGCTAGAGTCAAGAAGTTGTGACA